TGGGACAGGCATTTTGGGTTTTCATGTATGCCATAATCATCAGTATTAAAACAATTAAAGACCTGAAATATTTCAGTTGGTGTGCAATGAATCAGAAATATATGAAAGTTTCATTTTTATCATTACATTATGGAAAATAATGACCTTTATCACAATATGCTAATTTTTTGAGAAGGACCTGTACTTTACCTTTTGTCTTTTTTTTTGGCTTTATGTTGACGGTTGATCTCAGCGTACATTGGAGTGAAACCTGAAGCAGTAAACAGATCTTAGGACAGTTGAGCTCATATTTAAAATAATCTATAGCTCATATTTCATTATGTACACCCATTAGCATAATTGCACAGACTGACAGGTGCAAAAAACAAAACAAAAGGAATTTGGAATGCTGATCTTTTTTTTGTCACATGATAAATATAGAAAGCGACTTCATGTTAGATTTCTGTTCAAACTGTATCAGATTTTATATATTCTGTGAATGTGAAGCCAGTTTTTTAATACATAAAAAATATGAAATTTGTGTCAATAACCTCTAAAATGCCACAGATAATTCAGTTTCTGGATAGAGGAAGTCTGTAGATGTAATCAAGGCAGATGACTATCTGAACTCCTCTAATTATCAGTAGTAGTTGTAGTTCAATGACATGAGGTCACATTTCAGTCCAAAGACTGATTGTTGGAACTGACTCTACCTGAACTTTCTGGTTTCATCTCAGAGTAAACAACGTCCTCCTCTGGTTCACGAGGCCTCCCTGTTGAAATCATTAACAAAACACATGAAGGTTGAGACTTTTCTCATGTTGGTCATTGTTTGTGTTTAAACTCACGTTTTTTCCCTTTGTTTTTCATTTCAATCACTGAGTAAGTCACATTTATGGATTCAACTGCAGCGGAAACATTTCAGGATATTATATCAGTAACTGATTAGCTGGCTCCTTAAATCACACAGATTAAAATTTTTAAACTCCTTCTAGAAGATACTTTACCATTTCCTGTGATTTCAGAAGAATTGATGAACTCATGGAAAGAAGTATCTAAAATAAAGTAAAATGAGCACATTAAAAAATAAATAGAAAGTTGTAAAAATTCTCTCTCTATATATACACACACACACACACACACACACACATGCACACACACACACACGACAGCCAACCCAATAATGTTTTGTTTTTGTTTTATCTGCCGTTACTCGCTGAAAGTCCTTTCTTAAATTAGCTTAATGTAAGAGGAAAAACTCTGGATATTTTCTCTTTTCATGTGTTGATAAGAAAATGTAATGTGTCAAGAGAAATGACTTTTTGTCAGGTCCAGGTTTAATTTAGGTTGCTTTAGACTTCTGATTGTTTTTTATGAAAAAATGTTGAAACAATGAGTCAAACACTGGTCACATTTTAAGACAATTAAGAATATATATATTTTTATATATAATTAGAGAGAAATTGCTTTATGTCCTGACCCTGAAGAGCAGAGCTGTATTCATGACCATCAGTCTGGTTGACTCCATGATTCGTGGTGCAGCTCTGACTGCTCTCTGATGGTTTGGATCTAAAAACAAAAAAGTAATATGATAAAACAAACATCTGATATCTCATGCCAGTGATAAAAATGAAAATTTGACAAACTGACCTGATGCAGCATAAAGCTGTGAAAAAGATATTTGTTGTTAGATTATTGTTCAAATAATCCTTCTGCTAGTTCGCTTCATAAATCAAGATGTCTCTGCATGTTTGAATAATTCAAACAGTTCTTTAATCAACAATCTGATCCAGAATCAGAAGAGAAGAGTCTCACCTTTAGGCTGTCTGCAGCGCCACAATAAGAGCACGAAAATAATGAGAACAATTCCAATAACAGGTCCAACAATCAGCAGAGGAGAAAAAGAACTTGGAACAGCTGTTGTAAATAAGAAACAAAAACAAATAAACAATATTTTTATGGAGATTTTTTATTTTTTTTATACATAAAAAATGCAGCTTCAAGCTTAAACAGACAAAAAGTCAGTTTTTTTTTTGTTCTTCTCAAAGTGTAAATTTTACCAAATTAAAAGCATCCAATATTTTAACCCGCCTCACCTTTAACTGACATCCAGCTCTGTGGTGACTTCTTTCCTGAATGTTCACACCTGTAGAAACCTTCATCTGACTTTGACACTGCAGACATTTTCAGCTCCCCTCTTCCATCATTTAGGAGAAGTTTGTTGTTGTGATAGAAAATCACATCAGAAAAAAGTTCTTGTTTTTTCAGTCTGCAGCTCAGAGTCGCAGGATCTCCCTCAGTCACAGGATGGATGGGGCTCTCCAGGATGATACCACCATCATGATCTGCAAAACAGCTTCAGTCAGCTGGTGTTCATGTTCAGAAACATCTGGCTCATGGAGGATCAACAACGTTGCCTTTTATGTTAAAACTTCTGACATTTGATTTTGTTCTACTGAATCTGAAACATGTTTCATGAGACACGTTTTATTAAAACCTACAACACGTTTCATGTACAACACTCTCTGCACCAAGACACCTGAGTAAACGCAAAAACATATGACTTAGACAATTTTACAGATACTGAGCTCATATTTAGTGTGGAAGTAGCTGAAAGTCACTCTGATATTTTAAGCAATAAAACATCACAAGATCTCACATCTTCACATGGGATCAGGCTCAAAGTCACGCACAAGTTTAGAACAAAACAAGTTTAAAATCTGTTCCCAGTATAAGATGAACTGAGGTTTAGTTCAGTCTGTTTCAGTTTAATAAAGTTCCTGAATTCTTCAAGCTGCAGTTTTGTCCCATTTTCACCATCAACCCTCCAGTTTATGACTAATCTGTACAATAACTAAGAATGTGATATCCGAAGTTAAAGAAAACTCTAAGAAATGATAACATACTCTGTACAGTGATGTTGACTGCATTGCTGAACTCTCCTGATCCAGACTCACACCAGAACACTCCAGACCAGTACAGCTTTGTGGTACATGAGGATCCAGTCCGTGTTCTCCAGATGGAGCAGTCTGACAGACCAGTATCTGTAAACCTCTTCACTCTCCACTCAGTAGAGTTTCCTTCACAGCTCAGTGAGACAGAGAGAGAACTGAAGTGTTGAACTCTGTCAGGATTCACACTGAGAGACGCTGCTGGATCAACATCTGTGAGAAAAACTCAAAGAGACTTGAACCAGGGATGGAAACAATAAATGTTAATATTAAACAATAATTTTTAAAATCTGCTGCATACAGAATGATAATTAATAAAACTGGTTTCAAAGATCTAACCAATAGAATTTAAAGTAACTCATATTTTCTGCTGTTCTGTTATTTTACCAACAAAATGTTCTTGCTGTAAATTAACAAAATGTGGTCTTATTGTCAAGATGAGAACTGCTTGTAAATATAATTTTCTTGCAGATTACAAACCATTGAGTGTCAAAGAAACAATAACTTGATCTCACTGAGAGCACAGAAACAAAACTGACCTTCAGACCAGACAAACTTTGGTTGACTGTAATCAGTGAGATACTCTGGTTGTCTTCCTGCTCTGCACACATATCCTGCTGTGTGTTTCTGTCCATGAATGATGTAGGAGTTCTGTTCAGTCCCATTGGAGTGACCAGACAGCAGCTCATAGTTGTAACTGCTGCTCAATGGTTTGGGAACGACTTGATACCAGAAGAACCTCCATCCTGCAGATGGATGATGGACCTGACAGCTCAGAGTCACTGAGGCTCCAGGACTCAGCCATGATGGAGACACAGAGAGGACAGGCTGAGGTTTCTCTGTTGGACAGAGAAGATCTGAGAGTAAATCTTGATCTGTTCTAAACTCATAACATTAAATACTAAGAATCACTTGGCTCGTAAATGATATGTTAATGATCTTAGCATCTTCTTCTTCTTCTTCTTCTTTCGGCTTTTCCCTCTTCAGGGGTCTCCACAGTGAGTCATCCTCCTCCACCTCACTCTGTCCTCTGCATCCTTTTTGTTAATGTCTCTGTCTCCAGACCATACAACATAGCTGATCTCACAACTGTTTTATAAACTTTTCCTTCGAGCTCCGCTGACACCTGTTTGTCGCAAATCACTCCTGAAACTTTTCTCCACCCACTCCATCCTGCCTGGACTCTCTTCTTCACCTCTTTACCACACTCCCCATTTCCTGGACAGTGAACCCCAAGTACTTGAAGTCCTGCACCTTTGTGACCTCTGCTCCTTGTAGCCTCACTGTTCCACCTCCTCCCTCTCATTCACGCACATGTACTCTGTCTTACTACGGCTGACTTTCATTCCTCTTCTTTCAAGTGCATACCTCTCCACCTCTCCAAGTTCTCTTCCACGTGTTCCCTAGTATCACCACAGATCACAATATCATCTGCAAACATCATAGTCCATAAGGATTCCTGCCTGACCTTATCTGTTAGTCGGTCCATCACCAGAGCAAACAAGAAGGAGCTCCGAGCTGATCCTTGATACAATCCCACCTCCACCTTGAAGCTATCTGCCACTCCTACAGCACATCTCACCACTGTCCTGCTGTCCTCATACATGTCCTGTACAAGTCTAACATACTTCTCTACCACTCCAGATGTCCTCGTGCAATACCACACCTCCTCCCTCGGCACCCTGTCATATACTTTTTCTAAATCCACAAAGACACAATGGAGTTCTTTCTGATCCTCTCTGTACTTTCTAAAAGCTGATGCTGCTGAATATTTCATGCTGTTGAATTCATTCATACTCATCTACTCACACAGACTTGTTCTTGCTGCTGTTGTTCTGCATATTGTTTCTTTTTGTGTTCTTAGTTTAGCGCATTTCTTAATTTACATCTTAGCTCCTTATAACTGTTTATTTTACAATTATGTTCTTCCTGTTGTTGGATGTAACTGGGACCTTGTGTACACAATTTTGTTCCACCACATGTACCACATGTGATGCGAATGACAACAAATAAACTCGAATCCTTGAATCCTTGAATCCTTGAATCCTTGAATACTTGTCCATCAGCATCCTCAAAACAAAGATGGTGTCTGTAAAAAGGTGCTTTATAAAAAAAGTTTACTTACTTAGTTAATATTTGCTCTATGTTTCATCTCCTTATATTCCTGTCTCCTCTCTTCAGTCCTCTATCTGTCATATTTCTTCTTGGCTCACCTCTCCCTTTGGACGGCGTCCTGCACTTCACTAGTCCACCACCTGGTTTCCTCAACATCCATTCTCTGTCCAGATGACACACCAAGTACCTTCCTACCTGTCTCTCATTAATGTTGTTGTAATAGCTCAGTCACTTGGAAGCTCTTTCTTACCACCCAGAGTCTTTAACAACTCCTCTCTGAATTTCTCACTAAATTCTTCTTTTTTCAGCTTGCACTATTTGGTCTTTTTCTCTTCTTCACAACAACAGTCTTTATACACAAAACTATCTGATGCTGTTTGGACACGCTCTCCCCTGCCACAACCTTACAGTCTCCAATCTCCCTCAGGTTTCCTCTTCTACACAGAATGTAGTCGACCTGCGTACTCCTTCCTCCACTCTTATAGGTCACGCTGTGTTCCTCCCTCTTTTGGAATTATGTGTTGACTACAGCCATTTCCATTCTCTTGGCAAAATCCACCACCATCTGTCCTTCCTGGTTTCTTTCCTTGATACCAAACCTAACCATCACTTCCTCATCCCCTCTGTTTCCTTCACCAACATGTCTATTCAAGTCTGCTCCGATCACCACTCACTCCTCCCTGGGAATACCCTCTATCACTTCATCCAGATCTTTCCTAAATTTATCTTTCTTCTCTATGTCACATCCAACCTGTGGAGTATAACCACTGACAATGTTTAGCATCAGACCCTCTACTTCTACCTTCAGACACATCACCCTATCTGACACTCTTTTCATCTCTACTACATTATTTGCCAACTCCTCCTTCAGGACCACCCTTACTCCATTTCTCTTTCTATCCACCCCATGGTAATGGGTCTTGCTGCCCTTCCACTTGTTCTCTTGGACACACAAAACATCTACCTTCCTTCTCTGCATCAGGTCAGCCTGCTCTCTACCTTTGCCTGTCATTGTCTCTATATTTAGAGTTGCAACCCTCAGTCCTACATTCTTGACTTTCATCTTCTCCTTCTGTCTCCTGACATGTTTCCCTCCTCGTGATCTTGCACTAACAGTAGAACAATTTCCGCCGGCACCCTGTTTGTCAACAGCACTGGTGGTGGTCGTTGTTAACCCGGGCCTGGACCGATCTGGTACAATTTCACTTTGAAGAACTTGGATTATAGATTTGGCAAACGTGTTCTATGTTGGATGCACTTCCTGACACAACCCTCACCATTAACCTGGGCTTGGGACCAGCACAAAATTTACACTGGCTTGTGTTTCTTAGTGGCTGCTTTTAATAATCTTAACATACAACACTTTGACAAAATTATCAAAAAGGTTTAGATGAAAATTATGTGTCGTTTCACTCAAATGACACATTCCATTTTACTTTATTTTTTGTAGTTTTTTCTTTTTTCAATTCAGTCAATCAATCAATTCAACTTTCTTGTCCATAACATTCAATGAAATGGAGATTTGTCTTTGACATCTAGCTTATAAAAACAATTTTTTTCTGATCTTTTAACAAAACTTATTTTATGTTTCAGACATCTTTCTGATGTTTCATCAATTTGATTGTAACATGACAATAAAACTGTTGACCAAACTAATTTTTCATTGAATATTTTTTTCCAATAACATAAGAAATAATGTAAATTAACTAAAAGTTTGTGTTCTTTTTACTTTAATTTGACATTTTACTCTGCTGTTTATGACTAAATAACAACTTGACTCAAGTAACACTGAGAGTATGAAGTCATCACTCCAGTCTGTCTGATGATAGCCACTTCTACCACAACATCTGTATTCTCCACTGTCAGACTCAGTAACTCTGTTGATCCTGTATTCACTGGATGTTGGAGAGTTTCTGTTGGGTGTTCTCCATTCATACGTCCACTGAGTTCCTCCTCCCTGGATCTGACATCTGAGAGTGACTGTCTCACCACTGAAGGTCTGAGACCAGCTGGGTTCCAGGAAACTGTTCATATAAAATAATTAGTTTTGACTTTGACTGAAACAATAACTGAATTAAAATAACTAACTGCTATTTTTAATAATTAACATCTAAAGTAAAATGTGGTCTCAAAACTGAAAAGAACTGCTTTGAAAAAAGAGACAAATACTCATATCAACATATAAAGTAACAACATGATGTTTGTTTACTTTCTGACATCAAGTTTGATTTATTAAACTGTTGTTAGGTGAAAATGTAAGAAGAAATAATATAATTAAAAGTTACACAATTGTTTTTTCAAACAGACAGATGTGTTTCATGTTTCAGACGAGTAAATTATTTCACTTCAGAATAAATTGAACTCACCAGTTTTATAAATGGTGACTTCAGAGCTGTTTTGTGTGTAGTAAACTGGATCTCCTCTTCCTCCTCTGCAGCTGTACAGACCTCCCTCTGTGACTCTGTCTGGTTTATTGTATTTTATGGACGGAGAAGTTTCTGACTCTCGTCTGAACCAGTCAAAGTTCCAACCTTCAGATGTGTCCACTGAGCAGCTCAGTCTAACTCTGTCTCCTGCTGGGATGATGCTTCTGTCTGAACTCACTGTGGCTCTGGGTGTGGCTGATGTTGAGTTTGGATAAAAAACAAACAAACACATTAAATTGTCAACAACTTAAAAATTATTAAAATGATCACATCATCACCTGATTTTTTATCTTCTGGAACCAAAAAATAAATTAATGATTGATAAAACACATTAGACTGTTTTTATAACCAAACTCAGTTTTCATTGAATTTTGTTTTTTCCACTAACATAAGAAATAGTGTAAATATATTTGCAAAGGTTTGTTTCTTTTTTACATTTTAAAGAAATTATACTCTTGAGTGCTGTTTATTCATTTAAGTATAAATGAATAACAACTTGACTCACGTAACACTGAGAGTCTGAAGGCATCACTCCAGCCTGTCTGATGATCGCCACTTCTAACATAACATCTGTATTCTCCACTGTCAGAGTAAGTAACTCTGCTGATCCTGTATTCACTGGATGTTGGAGAGTTTCTGTTGGGTGTTCTCCATTCATACGTCCAATGAGTTCCTCCTCCCTGGATCTGACATCTGAGAGTGACTGTCTCACCACTGAAGATCTGGGACCAGCTGGGTTTCAGGATCACACTTGGTTTAATGGAAACTGTTCATATAAATAATATTTAGTTAGGACTGTGAAAGAAACATGAACTAAACAGTAAAAGTAAGAATGAACAAAAATTTATCATTTCTCCACAAATATGCAACTATGAATGATGTTTAATGTTTATCTTACGCTTAAAACTTGAACATGAAAAAAAGCTCAACACAATAGAAACATTTCAAACCAGGATAAAAATGAAAAGCAATGTGATAAATTTAGAGACTCCACAAGGTCCAGGCTTCCTTTGAACATGACTGATAGGACCTTCTCCATTAAACTGTTATAATAACACCAAAGAGAAATGTTGTCAATGAAGAGGAACTGGAAGATTTAAACACAGTCCTCATGGACATCTGGCTATAAAGTATTTATAAACCTGGAGTTACAGATCAGGCCAAAGTTCTAGTCATCTGAGAGATGAAGGAACTGGAGACGTACCAGTGAATTTTCCATCTTTAAAACTACTAAACAACTAAATATCAGAGTAAATATCACAGGCATTACTGCCGTGAGGATATTTAACAATTTTATATCAGAACTAACATAAGATACATGTTAGATATTGAAAACCAGATAGCTCCTGATCATAATGTATTAAATAAAATGGAGACCAACTGTTGCTATTATTACAATGAGCAACAGTAAAATGACACAATCAATAATGTTTATGGAATTTCACTCATACACTTTAATAGCAGAAGTCTATATGTTAATTTTCAGAACATGAATTAATATTTGGCACAGTTTAGGAAATGATTTAATATCATAGCAATCAATGAAACAAACTGTGGTGTCGTGAACACATCAATCAACTTTTTTAAAATCACAACATGTGATATTTATGGACTTGTTATAATTTAAAACTGCACAGGTGATGTTCAAAGTTAAAAACAAAATGCTCCCAAAAATATTCAGAACTTATTTAAGAATAGAGGGAAGGTATGAACTCAGAGGAAGATGTAATTTATAGCAACCCTGTGTTCGCAGCACTCTTAAAAAGCATGTACACATCAGTTCATGGAGGGATTTTTTTGAACGGCTTGGATGAAGAGATTAAGCAAAGTAAAAAAATTGCACGATTCAAGAGAAAATATAACGAGTACAAAATTAATGTGTATAAAACCGAATAAGACAAAATGACGTTATTCCAACGGTTAATTTCTTAATCTGTGTGTTTTCCTATTAAGCTTTGAGCTGTATGTGGTATGAGAGTAAAAGTGCATCTGCATGTATATTGATGTATATGCACGTATGGACATGTATGTATTTATGTATTTATTGATTCAGAATGTGTATGTAAACTTGTGGACAGGACTTGATAAGCCATTGCTTCTTCCTGCTCCCTTTTTAAACATTTTTGTTTTGTTTACAGAATATTTTGGTGGAAAAAGTTACATTTTTATTTATGTTTTGTTGAATTTTTCATGTTCAAAATGAAATAAATAATACTGAAAAAAAAGAATTCAGATCAATTTGCTTCTGCAAATTGTATTTTTGTGTTTTAGCTTTCATCATTACCACATATAAAAATAAACAAACAGATTCACCAGAACAGATTTGACAAAGACAGAAAGTATTTTCTGATGCAGCAACAGCAGCCGGCTGTGATGATCTGTGTATTTCACTTACTTTTTGATGTTCTTTGTGTTTAAGATCTGGTGTAGTTTCACTTTTGGTCTGAATGCCTTGTTTTCTTTATCTTGGGATTCTTGATCTTCTCTTCTTATAGAGCTGTTATTTCTAACTCGTACCCGAAGCCCGGCCCGACCCAAATTTGGGCTGGGCCATAATAATGTGCTTAATGTGTGGGTCGGGCCCATCTCAGTTTTACTAATCATATAGCACAAATAAAACTAAATAAGAATGTACAATATAAAATGTGTCAATCTACTTATAGAGGATGAGGCAGTAAGTTTATCCATCCGTTATCTTTTACCCGCTTCTTCCAATTTGGGTCACGGGGGTCGCTGGTGTCCATGTCCAGCAATCACTGTGCGAGGGGCGGGGTACACCCTGGACGGGTCTCCAGTCCATCACAGGGACACATGGAGACAAACGAGACAAACAACCGTTCACTCTCTCACTCACACCTAGAGACAATTTAGTTACCAATCAGTCTAACATGCATGTTTTTGGTCTGTGGGAGGAAACTGGAGTACCCGGAGAAAACCCACACAGGCATGAGAAGAACATGCATACTCCACACAGAAAGACCCCAGGTCCAACCAGGGATTGAACCCAGGACTTTCTTGCTGTGAGGCAACAGTGCTAACCACTGAGCTGTTGTACTGCCCATGTTGAGAGGATGAGGAAAGAAAGAAGAGTGCAGCAGTTAATCAAACTGTGAAGAGAGTAGTGCTGCAGCTGGTGCATTGCACAATATTGCACGCGTGGGCTTGGTGTGGTTTTATGATCGATCGATCGATCCATCGATCCATCCATCCATCCATCCATCCATCCATCCATCCATTATCTTTACCCACTTCTTCCTTTTTGGGTTGTTATGTGCCTGAGGCATGTTGTTGCTATTATTTGTCCCCTGGAAATATTTTAGGTTGTGGTTAACTATCCATCCATCCATCCATTATCTTTACCCACTTCTTCCTTTTTGGGTTTGTTATGTGCCTGAGGCATGTTGTTGCTATTATTTGTCCCCTGGAAATATTTTAGGTTGTGGTTAACTATCCATCCATCCATCCATTTTCTTTACCCGCTTATTCCATTTTGGGTCACGGGGGTTGCTGGTGCCCATGTCCAGCAATCACTGTGCGAGGGGCGGGGTACACCCTGGACGGGTCGCAAGTCCATCACAGGGCCACATAGAGACAAACGAGACAAACAAACATTCACTCTCTCACACACACCTAGGGACAATTTAGAGTTACCAATCAGCCTAACATGCATGTTTTTGGTCTGTGGGAGGAAACCGGAGTACCCGGAGAAAACCCATGCATGCACGGAGAGAACATGCAAACTCCACCCAGAAAGGCCCCTGGACCGGGGTTTGAACCAAGGACCTGCTCGCTGAGAGGCAGCAGCTCTACCAGTTGCGCCACCGTGCTGCCTGTGGTTAACTAATTAACCTTTAATTGTTTTCTTTTAATTGTAATTGTTTGTACCTCTCTGAGCTTCTGGAACCTTACGTTCCCTCTCGGGCCCTG